CGTGGCAATAGGGTGTCCCGTGTTATGTCTCGAGGAAATTTGGTCTCTTTCTTTCGTCTTACTACGCGTTGAGTTGGGCGAAATATTCGTTATGATCTGAATTTTACTTCATTCCTTTCCTTTTTTTTCTTTTTTGTGAGGTTACAGTAATTAGCTTATTACGTACAACATATGATATTTATGCTAATTATATTATATTATAAAAATTGCAGATCAATTAACTTATGTATATCGTATATATCGTATATATATCGTATATATTTATTTATATTAACATATTAAATTTGATGAAATAATATTTAATAATAAACCATAAGATATTTCTAAAAAAATTTCCTTATTATCAAAAGACATTTTACTACTTTATAATAATAAATATATATTATTATATTAAAAAATTTTTAATATATATGATAATATATAAAATATAATAGCATAATTACGTAATAATATAATATTTTTTGTGCGTAATACACCAGAGTTACGATCTTTTTGCTCCTAAATTCTATTAACTACGTAATCGAATCGAAAATTATACACGAGCGATCTTTTCGATGATTATACAAGAAATGTACATCTTGATTTAATAGTAGATAATGGTACATTAAAGCTGCTACAAGTGAATTTTCGCAGCGAAGGCGAGGCAAATATAGGCGGGCCACCTAGAAATCGACTTTCGATCGGCACACATTTTTTGCCTGCCGCCTATATATTTCGGAGGTTTTAATCAGTGGCACGTTAATTATTTTCAAATAAAATCCTACGCTTTAAAGTTAGTAGAAAATTCTATTTTGGCACAACAACGCCTTTCAAACGTTTTCTGTAGATAATCCCGTTATATATATATCTCGTGAGTTTGTTCTGATTCTTAGTACGCGATACGTTAACCAAGTGATATTTCGAGAAAATTAGGATCTCACAAATAATCATTAAAATAACCAGCCGAGGTACTGGCGTTCCGATCTTTTAATTAGCCGCGTCGTATCGTCGAAAGAAACGTCTATTAAAATTAATGAAATGCGATGCTATTTCTCGGTGATCGCAGTGGTAAATGTTTCCGGCCACTAAATTTTATTGCACTCGATTTTCGTCGGGACAGAGTGGACCACCTCGAAACCGCGTTAACGAGTCGAGTTGCGCGATTGACATACATTTGTACCTTCGCGAGCATTTTACTCAGCAATTAAACAGCTCGTTCGTTATCTGTCGAAAAACTAATTATCTACGGTGTATAATTACACGAAAAGAAAGCTGAATATAACGTGAAACGCTATTACAAAATCGCCAACATTTCTATAGGAAAAAATATCTTGGTTTCGACAGCGTTATATCATCAGATTGGTTCTCTTGCAAGTAAAGTTCGATTAACTTTACTTAACTTGCATAAACTTTTCTCTTAAACATCTCGAGAAACACATGAAATGTAATGCAATAAAATAAAATTTAAATATTTGATATCTAAAATGAATAAAATTTTTTTTCAGCAAAGGCCATTTAAACTAAAAAAATCGATTTTTCTTGATTATTAAAAATTAATGCAAGCTAGATGCCCTGCTTGTCACTGTTAAATTAAATATTTGAAAGTTATTTCCTGACTTCTCATCTTTCTGTATCTTTTGATGTATCAAAGCGCTTAGTTGATGCGCGCGCGATTTAATTGATGCTTCAGTGAAGCTTCGCGTAATCAGGGAGAGGGATTAATGGATTCGAGCGTTTAGCTTCTTTCTGTGTGGAATTAGCACAGTATAAAGCATCGTCCTGTATGCATCGTTGTGCATCGCTAATGAAGAATTTTCACGGAAGTTCCTGTCTTCGGTAACGCGCGTTAATTCCAATTTATTTATAATTGCGCTCGCGAAAAATTATGACCGCCATAAAGGAAAGCTGTATAACGTCGTTACATATTATACGCGCGCGCGACGATGCAACTAACAACGTAATGCTAACTTGTGGTGAATATCCGACGGGGGTTTCCCCTCTCGTTTTCCGTTACCCGCAAGCCGCTGATTTGCGTAGCAGCTGAGATTCGAGCGCCCGTCATTAATTGGGCGTGGGAGAAACGGTACGTGGGGAAAAGAAGAGGAAGAAAAAAAAAAGAAAGGAACGGAGGTAGTATAGCAGACCTACTGCTATAATAGTCCAGTATGTCGTGAAAATGTCTATTGACGCAACAATGTACGCCGCATTGTATGTCACGTTCGTGGCCTTGGGGTCAAGCACACGCCACACACGAGTAAGACTGTATAAAGATAAGCAAATATCTCGATATCTCCGTTGGAGCGAGCCCCACTTGGGACTTATCAGGCCCCATTCTTTTCGCGATCGCGTTACGCGTTGACTCCGCGAATGATACCGAAATAGGCCGTTCAATCTCGCGGGGCAGAAAAGCGAGGCAGCCGTAGATAGAAAAAGCAATCACATCGCGGCTACATATCACGAATTAGCCTCATCTCGTGAAAACGACAGCAATAACGTTTCGTCATTAGCGGAGAACAGCGGCGGGAGAAGATTTCTCATATTTCGCATTCTACCGTCCCGAGCGTACATTAACGGCTTGCTTGTTAATCGCTCATGCGCTTTCGCGCTCGCGTTTCGAGAAAGCGCATACAAATGGCATATTGTGACGTCCCATTTCGTTTCGACTTTCCGAGGTTATCCCTTGATTTTTGGGTCGGGCGATATAGAGGACAAATCTGTTATGGCCCAGGGACCGTGACGGCGAAACGCTCTAACGGACTCGTCGCGCGCGCGCGCGCGCGCGCGCGCGCGAGAGAGAGAGAGAGAGAGAGAGAGAGAGAGAGAGAGACGACCAA